GGGAGGTCATGAAAAAATTATACCTAAAGGTCAAGGATGGGGAGAGAGGTAAAAACAAGTTAGGGAGAACTTTTCCCTGGAGAAATTAAAATGTATTTTTGAGCAGGAAGTAGGTTTGGAGAGTTCCTCTTGAAACAAGAATACTCAATTTCCTGGAGATAAAAAAGAGATTGCTGTTAGGAGCAAAGAGGTCCACTTCAGAGAATGGTGGCTTGATCTGAGAACAAATACATGACCAGGCTACTAGAGTATCTACAGTAGTTTATTGTAGATCTGTTGACTCAGAAACAAGCAAGGTGATGTTCTGTTCATGGCTTCAGGTGGAGTAAGTGTCATGGAACACAGGTCTGTGCAAGCTGGGTACAAGACTTCTGTCTTCCTCAGTACAGTAGAGATACAGAGCTACTGGAGAGATTCCAGCAAAGGGCCACAAAGATGATTAAGGGATTGGAGCACCTCTTCTATGAGAACAGGCTGAGAGAGCTGAGACTGTTTATCCTAACAAAGAGAAGGCTCAGGTGGGATCTTATTAACAGAACCATTTAGGAAAAGATCCTTAAGATCATCGAGTCCCCTCAAGGAAACAACTCTTGCCTTAGAAATGGAAGTGTCTCTCTCTCTCTCCAACCCGAGAAGGGGATTCCAGGGATTATTTTTGTTGTTAGGGAGTGCAGCCACGTTACTGCCCAGAAGGAGCCTTGGTGCTTTGTGGCAAGAGCTGGCTTTCATCACCATTACTTAGGGCTGACCCCACAGTGATAGATTTGATTTGGAGTTAGTTGGAACCATCCTGAAGAGACAAGCATGAAACAAACAAGGAACCTGTGAACAATCAGCTGTCCAACACCTGAGATCTCTCCCCAGCCCTCTTTTATTTCATAATATAGATTTCTTTATTCTAGTAATTTTTAACTGAATGGTTTTACTGGTGTACAGTTTATCAGTACAATTTAAATCAGTATGTGGTTGTGGGTTCTTTCTATCCAGATGAATGCTGTGTTTGTATTACATGGCCACACTTGCAGAAAAGCATGGATGAGTGAATCACTGCACCTCTTGTTGAGGTCAGACATTTTGTCTGGAAATGAATTTAATCCAGACTTGAAAAGCTCATCTGGAGTGATTTCTGTTCAACAACATAAACAACGTATGGTCAGTTACCATCTCCTTTGTACAAACGCATACATTTCCCAGCAGCTGAAAAATGTACTTTTTTTTTTTAAAAAAAACAACTGATCTTATCTAGGCTTCCTGGGAGATTCTGATCCAAACTCCTACTACGACTGGAATTTAAAAGTAAACTTGGTCACCTTTATTCTATTGAAGTAGTGTGGAAAACAGTTACTTTACTAATTTCCATGAAATTCAGAAATGCTGCTCTTTCAATTCCCAAACCCATCTTAGTAGCTTTCCCCTTAAGAAACAGTGATTCAGTGTATTTTATACTTCAAGTTAATTATATGCTCCTATATTAGTTTCAGAATTTTAATTTACCTTGTGATTTTCTTAGCTAATGCTGAATAGAAAGGATGAGGGGAATAAGTTTTACTAAGTGGCATATTATTTTTAATCTTAGAGTTAGATGGGAAAATAAAATTTCAGTTAGCAACCAGTCTGACTTAAAGGCTTGACTTTATTCCATACAAAAATCCTTGAACTCATATAAATAAGGACTATAAGAGACAGACAAATGTCTTCTTAGTACAAATTTGATTGTCTTTCATTGTTTTGCATCTTGCTGTTTTAAGATAAAACATGGAATCATTTACAATGTAATCTACATTAGAGCAGGTATCTGCATGCAAACTTCATGTTTCAACTGTGCTATCTACTGTTATTTTTTTATTATAACCTTTTATGATAAATATTGTTCCACTGTTTCAAGAATTAGGTATAATGTCAATACCCTGCAGTTGACAGCCAACACTATAATTTATAGAAGTTGCTTAGCTTTGTAGGAGAAGAGAAAAAGCATAGTTACACACCATACTAAAAAGAATTTCATATTTTTGCATAAACTTAGACTAAGCAAAAAAAATGAGACCAATAATGTTACTCTTCTGTATTATCTGCCCAGTATATAAACATGTGCAGTTACAAAACTGCAGTATCCTAATTTCTCAAAGCACATTTACTCCTTTGAAATTGTCAGTGGTAAAATTTCTGTGGTAACTTCTAAAACACAGAAAACTATTTTCTGACTTTAATTCACCTCATGCATCTAATGCGTGGCTCACACTGAGACAGCTATTCTTTGTATTCATCCCAGACTTGACCCAGTTAGTAGGCAAATTTCCACCAGACTCAATAAAAAGAAAAGCAGGCCTGATGGGTCAGATTTTGGAGGCTACATGGTTACTGAACAATGTAAACAGAAAATTAATGAGAATTGCAAGAGTACCTGCAAGCTCATGACAAAATTCCCATTGATTCAACAAGCATAACATGAGTTAAAATATACAATCCTGTGGTGTGTCTCATGAGCTTGTTAATGAAAGAGTTTTCAGATGCCACAATTGTGACCACCACTGATTTATTCTACATATAACAGAATAACCTTTAAAGTCTTTCTGTTGTTAAAAAACATTCTGGTAGTGATTACAAGTTATCCAGTCTATTTACTTTCTGTATGGCACTCCAAATTAAAAAAAAAAAAAAAAAAAAAAAAGCAAACCAGATACGCTAGCAGCTGTTGGTATAATCGTATATAATGAATTCCATACAGTTCAGCAAGGCATTTATTTCCTAGCTTAATTAGCAGACGCCACTTAAGGGGCACCAGTTTATTATATTTACAGATGCTTTTCTCTTGTTGCAATCTAGTTTAACTGGTTAGTTGCTTCTTCATTTAAGCTACAGTTAATTTGACAAGATATCCACTATGGTCTCAGTGTTTAATACAGTATTATCTTAATCCCTATATAAATTTGTGTGAAACTGTGTTTTCCTTTACTTTTCATTTATTAAAGCAGACTTGTACTGCAGTATATGCTCTTTCTAATTTCTCAAATATTCTAATCTCTGAAAAAACAGAGTAGAAAAAAAACAGGGTGGTAAAATTAGTTAGCTGTATTTCCTTGACTATCCCTTCATTTCTGATGAACAGTCAAATTTTTTGTTATTGATTGTTCACCATAACCAACAGTAACTATGAAAAGAGCTGGTCCAGGCAAACTGCTGGCAGTCAGAAACAGCTTGGATGCTTTGTCACATTTTGTGCAATACTACAGAGTAATGTGCTTCAGATATCAGCAGGTGCCTAGAGTTCTGTATATACTAAACTTATTACTAAAAATTCCTGAAACTAAATTGCTATTACTACAACTTCAAAAGTTGAAGTGGCAGCAGTGGTGTTGTACAGTAGCAAACATATCTTGTGAAGCTGCACTAACAAAAATGTTAGCAAATATATCTCAATCTAGATTGCAGTCTCAATCTATTTCTTGATGGTCAGGATCACCATGCAAGCCTTTGAGATTTAGCAAGAGCCTTGCAAGTAAGAAGCATTTCCAGATAAAAGTTAATGCTATGTCATTTGGTAAGAGTTTCTAATAAAAATCAATACTGCATTTAACAAAACATTGCTCACTCATGGATTGGAAATTGAGCAAATGCAGAAGTGAAAACTGAAAAGACCTTGTTTAAAGTCCCCAGGGCTCAGAATACTATAGGGTTAATTCAGTGTTCACACTTCTGTCATTGGGAGACCATCGACCCTGGTGCTGCAAAACGAACCCTGCTGCAAAACACAGTCTGAAAAAGCCTGAACCTGAAAAGATCAGTCTTCCAGCCTGAGCGCAATCAACCTCCAGCTACCCTCATACAGTTTAAAAGTAGTGACTCTGGTGCCTTTATTTCACAAATACTGCAGTGCAAAATGGGGAAGAAAAATGTGTGTACCAGGTAAATTAGGAAATGGATCAGGAATGACTAAATAGGAAAGGTGCTTGATACAGCAGACTTTTAAACAAAGATGGAGATGTGAAAAGGAAGTTAAATGAGGGCAAGAAATGGTTGTCTGCTGCTGTAGCTGAAGATGTTACCAGGAGATGCTGGAAAAATTAGCTAGATCAGACCAGGAATGCTGGGGAGAGGTCTGAGAGAAACATTTGGTTTTCAGTGTTTACCCCTGCAGGTATGTCAACGAAGTAGGTTGAGTGGGTCACTTCTGTAATGAAGCGTTTATACGTTCACGTTCTGCGTATGATTGATCTTCCAGCATGGTAAATAAATAAATAAATAAATAAATAAATAAATAAATCAGGGAGATGTACGTAGAAATGCTGGAAAACAGGTTTAATTTCATCTCTTTTTAGTTAGATACGCAGTTGCTTCTAACCTTCAGAGGCTTTTCTTAGTGTCCACAAAACCCCTGTACAAATCTCTTTGCTCCCTTCCTTACGCTTCACTGAAGGGCGCAAGGACTGGAAGGGGCTCGCTGGGATCAGACGCGTTGCTAAGGCTGCCCAAAGCGGCAACCAGATAACCAGCCCGGGTCACTGCAGCTTCGGAACAGTCAAAACACGACTTCTGGTGTAAGAAGAGTACACAAAATGCCCCGGTTTGTGACGCGCTTTAAAACGGGAGATTAATCTCGTCGGCGTTGCAGAGGCAGCTTCTCCCGCCTGTGTGCCGCTCTGGATGTGCGAGGGGGTGTCAGAGAGGGGAGTGAAATGCAGAGGGAGAACCCGGCACCCGGCTATGGGAAGGAGTCTTGGAGAGGACGGGGGGGAAAAGCCCTCTTCCTCCCCGCAGGCGTCCTCTCACAGCGCCAAACCCTCTAGTAACAACCCTTCTGATCCGGACGAAACTCTTTCAAAACCCCGCCGAATGACTCCTTTAGGCCGCCACAGGCAACCCGCTACGAGGCGAGAGGCGGGCGGAGCGCAGAGGGGGCAGGTCGCGGGGCAGGTCGCCCGGTCGGTACCGCGGCACTCCGGG